GCTTGTTGAGTTTGCGGAAACTCTACAGAATATTTTTGGAATTAAGGCTTTTCTGTGCAGGAAACTGCCCAAAAGAATTCACAAACAGCCTCTAGCAAGGGTGTTTGGAGGATGTTTTGAATGGGGTGTCAAAAGGAGGGACCAAGAAGAAGGGTAATTCATGAGGAATCAGAAAACCATATCAGAAATATACACCAAACCAAACCACTCGATAATTTCAAGTCTGGACAGAACTCCTGCTGTCGTAAATAGTAGGAGGCGTGGTTGTCCCGTAACAATATGGCAGCTGTGCTGAAGCACAATATGCAACTACGAGGAAATGGAGCTAACAGAGAACTGGTTAAAACCCTAAAACATTTTACTCTAATGAGGGTTGCAAGTTAAAAACAAAGTCTCACACATCCTTTGAGTTTTTAGTAAGTAAATGAATTGGAGAATGATAGCCAGTAGATAAATGTGAGGCACATCTGTTGAAAACTTAAAAATATATTGTTTTGCATCTATAATTAGCATAAGAGCTATCAGTGCACATTGATCATTCTTTCAGAAGCGCATTTGTGAGGTCAGACACTGATGTTGTTTCCCAGTCACCGCTCTAATTCTGATTTTCTAACACTGGAATATTTCTAACATTTTGAGTTATTTTCCAGTGTTAGAAAATCAGCACTGCTCAGTGTTAGCCATTGTTAATCTTCAAAACTGACTAGGTTACTTTTAAACATATAACACTGTCAAAAGTGTTAATTTAACACTCAACAGTGTTGTATTTAACACTCAGAGGTGTGGACCCATATAGACACTCTCCAGTGTTAATTTAACACTCAACAGTGTTAATTTAACACTGGAGATTTTGCTGTGCATCTGCTGCGACCAGTTGGGGTGAGAGAAGGAAGACAGGATAAAAGACATGCTGTGGAAGAGAGACAGAGATTAATAGCAGGCATGATTCAATGCATCCATCCATTCGCTTATCCTTTTCCCGGTCACGGGGGGCACTGGAGCCTATACCAGCTGTCATAGGGCAAGAGTGTTACACACTTGGATTAAAATGAATTGAAACCAGTGTGGCTTTGTGAGTTCGCCTTTACTGTATCTGCAAATATATATGTAGACATAGCACAACGTTACACACTTTTGCAGTCTCACACAACTCTTATAGGCGCACTACCTTATGGTTAGTGGCTGGGCTTATTTACTCCCGCTAGAGCTGCTCATTTTAGGGAAACTCCCTCTTGTGGTGTAACGGAGGAATAACTACCCTTCCTGCACTATGTTATTTTTGGAGACTGGGGCACACATTATTTTACAACTATGAAAGAAAATACATATTTGAACAATCAGACCATTTAACTAACTATAATATTGTAACTAAAGATTATGGGGGGTGTCCTGTTTTGTCCACAATGAATTTCTCGTCCTTACAAGAGGCAGGGTACACCTTGGACAGGTCGCCAGTATAACACACAGAGAGAAACAACCATTCACACTCACATTCACACCTATGGGCAATTTAGACTGATCAAGTAACCTATCCCCACTGACTGCATGTCTTTGGACTGTGGGAGGAAGCCAGAGTACCGAACATGCAAACTCCACAAAGAAAGACCCCAGCCTGATGGTGGAGTTGAACGCAGGACCTTCTTGCTGTGCAGCAACATTGCTAACCACCATGCCATCGTGCTGCTGATTCAATGCAAATAGGTCTATTAACACATAGTGAGCGAGAAAGGTGATGGGAGAAGAAATAGTGCATCATGGGAATAGCCTACGCCTATTGCAGCATAACTAAGGGAAGATTCAGGGTCACCTGATCCAGTCCTAAAGTAGAGATAGTGTCTGTCTCCTGAATCCAAACTGGAAGTTGGTTCCATAGAAGAGGGGCCACCAAATCCATACACATCATTCGGATTACCAGACTGAGAAGTGTGATCTGCCACTGCAGAGAACACATCTTCACTGTTCTAGAGTCTATTTATGGCGTGATTTACACCACTGCATCTGACACTTTGCATTGCGCTTGGTGATGTAAGGCTCGGATGCAGCTTCACAGCCATGGAAACCATGAAGCTCTGTACGCACTGTCCTTGAGCTAATCTAAAGCCAAATGAAGTCAGGAGGCCTGCAGCTATTGAGTCTGCAGAAAATTGTGAGGTCAGAGTAGGGACCACGTAAAACCAGAGTGGTTGCTCTGTGATTTTGCGACACCTACCACTTTGTGGCTTAGTTGCTGTCATTATTAATTGCTTCCACTTCATCATAACACCACTAAAAGTTAAATATGGAATATTTAGGACCAAAGAATTTTCACAGCTGGACTTGCTGCACAGGTGGCCAGATTTCACTTCTTTGTTAAAAGAACAGTACAGAATGTTGCATTATGCTTTAAATGGGGCGCCATTTACATAGGATACATTGCATACCATACATTCATAAAGTGTTTAATACTATGCACTTAAAACACTTTACCTACCTCCAACTGATGACCAACTTAAATCACCAAATAACCCAACATCCACCTTACATAATTTCTTCCAAGGGGCCACACAGTCACCCACCTGAATGACTCACATTAGGTTTCACAATGTGCCAATACAACACAAAAGTAATCATTAATGGAAATTAACATCTGTATCCCTATTCAAAAAATATATTTAAAGTTATTACCAAGTGCATTATTAAGTAACTGACACATTTTATTTGGATCAAAATAAGGACATAAGTTACACATGGACAGAATTAAATGAGAGATCAAGGGGGGAAAGAGACAAGACAGTAACAAAGAGAACAAGTGCAGCGCTGCAAAAACAGCTGTAGAAACAGAGAAGCGAATAAACTGAAAGAGGAGAGAGACACATACGGAGAGGAGGAGAGGGAGGGGTGAGAAATAAGAAGCCGATAGAGAAAAACATACGTGAGAATAACAGAAATCGTAATGAACAGGAGGGAGTGAGGCAGACAGATGGGGGGAAAAGAGGGGAAGACGACATGGTGGGCAGACACGGTGGTCCTCAGATGTCTGCTTGTCCTCCTCATCATTCACTCTTCCCACAGCGTCTCTCATTCCTCTGTCTGAATCGCTGTCCTCCCGTCTGTTGTTGGCTTCCTCAGAGTGTTTCGGATCACTTAAAGGACTAGGTCACCTGAAAAAGAAAGCGCAGCACGAAAGGACAAATCCCTCACACTAAAAACAAAACAGCTCCATGTCCACTTTGTTCAACACAACAGATATTCATTGATCGGCCACAGCATTGATCACCTTGTTACTATGTAACGCTCTGTGAGATCCTGACAGTCCTGTGGATGTCACCATGACACATACCTTGTTGCAAGCCATCGCTCTTAAATTTTATTTGCAGCTATAATTTTATTTTTATTTCATTTGAAATGTTTTATTTTAAATTCAGGTGCGTTTCAGGTAGAGTGCTTTTGTTCTTTTCAGTTCACTGTTCAGTTTGGATTATTAGTTCACAACAGTACAATAATACGATTAAAAAAATGCAAACACACAGTCGCTGTCATATAGACGTCCCATGATCAGTAAACATTTGCATTATTGCCCTTTTAGCCTGTGGGTGCTTACAAATTTCAATAAATTGACAAACACCAAAGCCAAAGACATTTCATGCAGATTTGTATTATATTTTATTGTATTTATGCAGCATTCTTTCAGGGTTTTGTTTTTACTTCAATTTCCAAGCAAACCTACAAATGACAGCTACACTCTTTGATTGTATCAGCCTGTTATAGCAACAGTTTTCCCCAAAAAGCTGCAAAATCTACTCAGGAACAAACTGAAGAAAGAACTCGAGGTGTTAACCCAGACTCTTAACTTTCCTGTTTCTTGAGAGATCCCCCCCACGATCCACAGTACCCAATGTGTCTGCAAGAGATGTGCTGGTATGCCCCTGTTGGGTCTGTGCTCTTGGTGGCGTGTGAGGGATCAATGCAAATTAGGTGGTTTTCAAAGTTGCTACAAAAACAAGCAACTTGACCTTTTTTTGTGCTTCCATTTGCCATCGGTTGACGTCACCAGAATTTATCATTAGAAAGCAAAAAACAAAACCTTGTCAAATGTCTGCGCCTTCCTTTCACGTATATCTAAATATTCAGTGTAACTGAATTTGAAGTGGCACATCTCTATCATAAATTCAGCGCATCCACCTTGAGAAGTTTGTGATTGTATTTCGGGAGATTACAGCTGTCCTTAAATTGCAGGACAGAAGCATCTTGCTCTGTGTGTTCTCATAGAAAAGTGTATCAGCATCTATTTTTGCTTCCATAGAAAATCCAGATCAGTGCAACACAAGAAAATGATTGAGAACTTCCGGAAAGTGAAGTTTCAGCTCAGTATGGAGGGCAGAGGACCCAGGGGAGGAGAGCACTGTGGGAAATGGGCAGTTCCTGTCTGTCTGTGTCTTTGTTCAATCATTTGTCTGCCTCTCAGAGTGACACGCTTGATCCCAACGGCAGTCTCCGAAGGAAAGATGGAGGCAGACTGAAGTTAAGGGACATTTGGATGGAATATAAACATATGAAGTTTTTGTTTGTATGTTTTTGGACTTGAGATTCTAATAAACTCAGGAAGAAAACAGAAAGAAGCCAGAGCACCAAACCAGGGGTGCTCCTGTTTTTTTTTCTTTTTTAACTTTACTGATCCTCCCACCTTCTCCCTTTGCTACCACTCTTGCTGCTCCTGCTAACTAAGGAGGAGGAGAAGGAGGAGGAAGAGGGATGCAGGGAGAGCACACCTTACCTCCCTCCCTTCCTTCCTCACTTTCTTCCTCCCTTTCTCTGTCTCTCCCACTCTTCACTCCACAGCAGCTCTCACCAAAACACCACAACACACCACCACTGTCTCTGGCAGGCTGACACACACTTACACATCCCTGCACACACACACACACACACACACACACACACACACACACACACACACACACACACACACACACACACACACACA